TTGTATTGGTAAACTGAAAGTGTATATATATATATATATATATATATATATATATATATATATATATATATATATAAAACAAAAACAACTGCACTCAATTTTAGGCTGTCTACATTTCTTGGTTATGACTGGACAATTCTAGCAAGACAGAAGAGTTCTCTATTGGGCACTCAGCTAACTTCCTTTGCTCGCCAGATATAAACCCCATTGAGCATGTATGGCACATGTTGCACAACTTACTAAATTCTCTGCAGTCTCATTTAATAAATACAATTCTGTTTCGGACAGCCATGGAAGATCCCTGGATAGATTTCACCAGACAATGACTCCAGGATACTTTAAATACCATGTCATGTTCTTTACATTCCATTATTATGGTGAAAGAAAAAGGTATACATTCTTATATATTTGTTTATAATTCTTTGGCTTTTAGGTTTAATTGACCTAAAAAATAACAATTTGAATATTACCAGGTGAATCCAATAATCATAGCAAAAGAAAGAGATATGCATATGTGACAGGCATAATTAAACTTGCCAGATGTCACTAAACATAGATCAAATGAGAAAAGAAAATAGAAGACAGGTGTATGGCTTCAACCTACTATCAGGCCATCAGCCCTGCCACTATGTCGGCTAAATAAACTTTTAGACCTTTTTCTTTATGTACTGTGTTCTCTTAGGACATAGGCGATCATGGCTCTCCACAATTTCCTGTCCTTTATAACTCTTAATAAATTTTGTTATTTCTCTTAAACCCTGTTCCACCATCTATTTACTCAACCTCATTAAGTCCAAAGAAGGATCTGCAATGTAATCGATCCTGACATGGCATCTCGACTTAAGCCACTTTCTCACAGATGTGATGTAGCTTCCTTCTGTCTTTTCTACAAATATTTTCATAGCAACTGCTCTGATGAGCTTTTTTCCCTGTTGCCCTGACTACATTAATTTAAATGTACTATTAGATTGGCATCTAGGTCTCACACCTTTTACTGTTGAAATAGTTAAATGCAACCACCGCTTCTACTGCAACAGGTTCTTTTCTTGCACTTCCCGACAATGGAACTCCCTTCCGTTTACTTGCTTCCCTGAAAATTACTTCAAAAGTTTAAATGCAGCATCAATCACCATCTTCTATTGTCTTGAACCCCCGTTCATCTTTTATCGTTTCTGCAATCTTCGCTATACTCAGTCTTTTCTCTCACTTTCACTCTCTGTAACCCCTTGTGTACTAGTGGAATTCCTATATTCCTTGAGATGAAATGATTAAAAAAATGTCTGTTATGTTTTGTTTTCCTCTGCCCCTCAATCTGTCCTGTGAGTACGAGATTTTTCATGCCCTCCTTCCTCATCATGTGCTCCAAAAATTTCAACTCTCTCAAATGTTATGTATAAGTTTGCTTTTTGTTTCCATTTTCTCCAAAACCTTGTTACTCACATGTTTGGTCCATGTTATCCTCACCATCTTTCTGTAGAACCACATTTCTGTTGCTTCAAGTCTCTTCTTCATCTTTGAGGAGATTGTCCAGCATTGACTGACATATTTGAGGACAGATATTAAATAGCAATTCAGTACTCCTTTCTTTGTTTCTAACAAAGTTTTTCTTTCTCTTAATACTTTGTTTAGCTTTATAAACCTGACTGGAATTAGAACACAGTGATTTCCGATTCTGAGTCAGTCACCAGGTCAAATCATAAAAGCTGCTCGGCTTCAGCATGAAGATTTTTGCTTTTGTTGATAGATTTGATAAAGCAACCTTTGTATTTGTCTTACTGGACAACAAGACCACCTTTTTATATATGCAAGGCTTTCACAGTGTTATGAGTAGGAATCATTTTTGGTACACATATTCAAATTACAGCATAGTACAGAGCTTATGGCCATATCATGATGAAACGTCAGTTCTTGAGCAGTTGCTGAAGTTAAGCAACATTGAATCTGGTCAATGTTTAGAGAGGTGACCACTTGTCATCTTGGATGTGTGGATGGTGAAATGGATAATGGCTCAGAATCGGAAATCACTGTGTTCCAATTCCAGTCAGGTTTGTTATATTTACTTACGTGCAAATACCTTTGGAAAAGGTATGAATCCACCTCTTCTCCCTCCAGCTATGGGTTAATTAGTAGGACTTGTATCAGTAACCTATTATTATCCCCACCCCCAAAATAATTACTATCCAAAAATATTTTCTGGCTTTAAATAACCTGCAAAGAGTTGATAAGCTGTAAAAAAATGAATCATTCAATCAAATACTGATTAGATACACAGGCATGTCTTTTAGATTTATTTACATTCTCTGGAATGTAGAAATACCGGGGTCACAAAATGAGGGATCAGTTTATTGATTGTGATATAGAATTGTTTTTCCACTTCATTATAATTTCTTGTTTGTTTCTCAAATTCTGATTAGTTAGGAAATCCTCCTCTCCTCCTCAAGCAATGGGTTAATTAGTAAGCCCTGCATCGCTAAACCATTATTATCTCAAAAAAAAATCTTACAATCAAAAAATATTTTCTCGTTTAAAATAACCTGCAAATTGTTGATAAGCTGTGGAAAACAAATTAATCAATGTATCAGAATTCTCCAATCTTTTTTTTCTCATGATGTGTCCCATAAATTTCAACTATTTCTTTCTGGTTCTAAACATAATTGTTACTTTTGTTTCCATTTTCCTTTATACTTCCTTATTGCTCAAGTCTTCCATCCATGGTATTCTTAGCATCCTTCTGTAGAACTCCATCTTTGTTGCCTCAAGTCTCTTTTTGTAAGCAAAAATCTATCATGGTTTCCATGCTTATTTGAAGAATGAAGTGTCAGTTGTTTTGTGTATTGTGTGGTACATTGGCAACATCTTGGAAGGTAATATACGATACACATCTTCATTCAACATTAAGCGTAATAATTAAAGCTATATGATAGAATGAAAAATTAGTAATGTTAAGTTTCAACAGCTGTGCCAGGAGAATAATGAACAATTTATTCGTCCGTTGATGCCGACTGAAACTGTCAGCCATTTTGCAGGTTTATAGTTTAATTTAATGATATGAGAATGTTGTACTATTTCTGGAAAATAAACATGTGGCTAATTTCTTTACTTATTTATTTATTTATTTATTTTTTTTTTAATCCTATCCCCCTGTCCTTCAAGGTCGTAAAGCCACTAAGATACAAAGCGGTTACTGAGTGTGAAAGAATAAGAAAAAAGAGAAACATTATTAAGGAAGAAAGAACAATAAAGAAAGAGAAATCAGGAAGACAGAAAATAATGATCAACATTGCATTTAAATTTTTAAAGATCAAATTTGGCTGGAAACTGAGTTCCACAAGTGAGAAGTGTAAGAAAAGAAACTTACAGTTACATCTAGCCAATCCAACATTAAATTGATGATACCTTGTTGCCAATCTAGTACTTTGCTTAAATTGATTAATTCTAGGTACCATAGAGGAATGATTATCAATTGCCATGAAAATATTTATGAAAAAGCATATGGAAGCTACATTACAGCAGTGGGGAAAATGCCTGAGACTGAGATGTCAGGTGGAGACCAATAATATTGCTGATTCTTCTTTGGATTTTATGAAGAACTAGCAGTAGAGCCCGGCATTGCCCGGGGATGTAACAGTAAGAGATAGATCAAGTATCGACCATCATAAAGACTGAAAAATGAAATTGACAAAGATTATTGTTTAAGGTTGACGGACACGCATGTCTTAATTAGTTTTTTTTGGGGGGGGGTTACGAATTTGTCAAACCCAAACTCAAACAAAAACATTGTTTTCAATCGTTATGAGTCTATCGATTGAATAGAATTTTATTATAAACAATTGTCTTGTAAATGGAATTTTTAAAGCATTCTGAATGTAAAATAAAGAAAAAAGTGTGCAAGACAATAAGAAACACTACCTGCCAAAAAAAGTGAAGTTGAAATCGGTTGAAAAATGTAGGAAATCCGATCCCATATATAAATGAACACACACACACAAACAACCTGGGTTTTATGATAAGTATAACTCGATATGAGTTGTCCTCCTTTCATTCTGGTGACAGAATCGTGTTTTATCATGTTTTCAAATTGATTTCGTGCAAAAACGATTGTGTTTTTCCAATTTTTGGTGCTGTCAGAACCACCGTAAGGTAATTTTACACAGTTCTGTGAAGTTTTGTTGAAATCGGTTGAAAAATGTAGGAAATCCGATCCAATATATAAACGTACAGACACACACGCACACGCACAATCTGCATTTTATAATAAGTAAGATATCAGCAGGAGCACTAGGTCATATTTGACAGCAATATCTGTTAGCAGTTAAAAACAAATCAAATGTTGTACATTTTATGTGACAAGCATTTTAAAGAAATCCAGTTTTCATTTTCACGGTGATAATATAGCACTTATTAATTTTTTGAGAAAATTTCTTTTTTTTTTTTATGTCAAGTCTATATTTTCCTGGTGTCAGTTTAAACTGCAATCTTCTGTTTTCCATATATTGTGACCATTTTACACAGTATTTACATTAGTCGGACTATTGTCCTCATCTTTGTTGCCATATTTGTCACAAAGTTTCGGCCGTTGTGTGCTCCAGCCTTCTTCAGGTGGTTGGAATTTCGAACTGAACCCTTTATTTCAATCACTGGGGTAGACTGTTCTAGTTCCATGTGCCATGTTTGATGGATGTCAGTTATCAGTTATCTCCTGCTAATTTTCCCTCTGAAAGTTCTCCACTGCCTTAACCAGGTATTGAACTCACCTTCTTTGGGTCTGTCACTGGATCTAACCAAGGCCTTTATCCACTGTGCCATCAAATGTTTTGTTTAGTCATTTGGTCAGATTTTGAACAGTTGCTCAGGCCAATAACTTTCAGTCTCCTCTTTGGTTTGATTTTGTTTTTGTTTTTTTTTTAGCGAGAAATATAAATATGTTTTGTTTTTCAGAATATTGTAAAGATGTCTTGTAACACGAATAAAATCAGTGAATCTTTTCTCTTTCTTTTCAGTCTTTTTTACTACAACTTGGAGAAACAGAAGTAATTATTTTAACTCGGGATCAAAAAAAGGTAAGAATTAATCAAAAACTTGAATTCTGTTGAATGTCTTGAAAAACAGACAAATGTCTATTATTTACATGTGGAGTACAGTTTTCATCTTTGTTGTTGTTCTCACACCGTTTCAACCATTGGGCCCTCTAGCCTTGATCAGGTGTATTTCAGTCTGGATAACCTTCCATGTTGAACCCTTTATTTTGTCTACTCATTCCATTTCCCATATCTAGGGATATCTTGTCTAGTTCTAATTTTTAGTATGGCTCAGTTATTGCACACTCTGTTTTCACTGAGTCCAAGTATACACTACCGGGGCCAGGGATTGAACTCAGAATTACTGTTACCAAATTCATGAACCGATGCTTTAATCCACTATGCTATTTTCCCAGAATGGTTTGATTATATTTTTATTATTCTCTTTTCTATAATTCTGTTGGTTTTTTTTTTGGGTGGGGGGGGTCCTGAAAATACATTGGAATAGTGAAAGATGCATTCCAAATCCCAAACAAAGAAGTAAGAAACATTATATATTAGTCTTACTCTGTAGCAGCAAATACTGGACAATTCCCTCACAGATGTGGTTCTACAGTAGAATGATAAAAGTATCATGGACAGGTCATGTGAACAATGATGAAACTTTAAGAAAAATGGAAACAAAAACAATAGTATCACATGGAATGAGAAAGACACAGATGAAATTTCTAGGACACATAATGAGGAAAGAGGCTTGGAGAATTTGACACTCATAGGACATATTGAAGACAAGTGATACAGGGGAAAACAGCTGTTAACTTTTGTAAATGATTGGCAGAACAGAGACTGGGAGGGATAGTAAGGGGATATAAAGCGGAGGAAATAGTGGAGAGACATGATCGCCCACATCATGATGGGACTTGTCACATAAAAGAAAGAAGTAACAATCACTCGTACATTTACTTGCACGATTTTCCATTCACCTAATATTCACATAAAGTGAATAGGCAGAATTAGCTGACGTTATCAGGAGTTACAAAACCTTGTTAATGAGTTTGTATCATTCTTTTGCATCCTTACTTAAACATACTTATAAATTATACTTATATATATATATTTAGGCAGCAATTTTTCATTAATGCATGTTTCATTAAATAATATAGAAAAAATTTGTCTATTTATTTTAAGTAAGTTCCTTTCATATTGTCTGATAAGCTTAATAACATTATCATTGAAAGACGAAAGGAAATCACCATATTGATACATGTTTAAATCCAATCTAAGCTTTCGGCTTACATAAGCCATTATCAAAAATGACAATTACTTTTCATTATATCAATAAATACACGGACAAAACAATAATGATGATAATATAAATGACAATAATGATGTTGGGGATTAGTGAATGTATTTGGTTAAATCAGAAGGAAGTTTTAGGTGACGCGTTCGTTAACATTCATCCACAACAAATAATAAACAGATATTTAGAAAAGGTCATGCAAAGCAGAGTCAAAAACAAATACAAGTAAAATACACAATACGGTAATTTATATACAATTTAAATATATACAAATGAGTTATGAATTGGTGATTTGTTGGATATTGATGTAATAAGACATGTAGTTTGTTGTTGAGTATGTTTGAATGCTTAAATCAGTGTTTTGATGATTTGTTGTAAGAATTAAACAGTTTGCTGTTCAACGTACAAAAGTGTTCGATTTTACAGTTCAAATGTTAGTGTGTATATATACGAGTGTTATGTAAAGTATTCTTAAGTTGTACAAAGTTGCGTACCTTGAACTGTTAATTGTTAAAAGTTTTGTTTGTTACTGTTACTAATATGTAGTGAATATATATTTCACTTTCTCAAGTAAAGTAAATGAATTTTTGTGAAGTTTCTTTAAAAGAAAGATCGAGTATGCCAAAAGGTTGTTGAGTCAGAGGTTAATTCGCGCAGGAAAGTCAAAGTTTAAATTGGTGTGGAATTAGTTGGCATCTCTCTGAGTGTGGAATTATGACTGGTAAGTTGGTTCGAATTTCTTTCTTTTATAGGTTCTGGAAAGGAAAAATAGGCTCAAACACATTTGAGTGCCAAAGGCATTTTTCACGTGCATACTTAGTTTTTTAAGGCTGTTAGCCAATGAGAAATTGAGTTTGTCAGAACTAGTGTTTCAATTGGATAACAGGTGTGTGGGTGTAAGAATGGATTGTTCTGCAAAAGGGTGAAAAGGTAACGTGGATTATTCCACAATGATATATAGTGTGTTTGTCTCTTTTAATCATTTGAGAGAAAGCTTTTTTCCTTCCATCAATGTGACTGATGCAAACCTCCAGGATAGTGACTCATTATTGCACCTTCTCACACTAGTGTTTGCCGCAGCACTGAGGTGGAAAGATTATATTGAATCACTTGCTAAATCTGCAGCAAAGAAAGTTGGTTCATTATGTCTTGCTAAACAATTTTTCTCACCAGAATCTATGTTGCATATTTATAAGTCTACCATTCATCTTTGCTTTAAATTTTGCTACTACATGTAGTCTTGTGTTCCTACTATATATTTAGAGATTCTTGATAAAAATCTAAAGAATCTGCAATATTACTGGTCCTGATCTGGTATCTTGACAGCAGTCTCTTTCCCACTGAGGTAATGTAGCTTCTATGTACCTTTTCTATAAATGTTTTCATGGTAATTGTTCTATCGTAGTTCGATTTTATGAATTTGTGAAGGACTAGATTTATGGCTAGATGTCACTTTAAGTTATATGTCTATAGTTTCTTTTGTCATGCTACTTGCTTGTGGTGCTTTCTTCAAGCTTCTGGCTTTCCAGTCAATGTCGATCTTAAAAAAATTTCAATGCAATGTCAATCATTCTGTCTTCTTAATTGCAGTCCTTTTCTCGTTCCTTTTTCCTTAATAATGATTTTCTTTTTCTTATATTCTCTAACACTTACTAACCTCTTGTACCTTACTGCCTTTATTGAAAGGTTTCAAGAAATAACTGAAGTTACTGAATTTTTTTTTTTGAGAAAATTTTGGCTTCTATCTGACTTGAGGAGTCAGTTGCTTATGTTGGTATAACAAAAAGAGCAGGAAAGGAGAATGCATGGTTTTGGCGAGAATATGCAAACACTGTGAAAATATAGTAGTCAACATGTATTTCTTCTGCAGGTTATTTAAAGCCAGAAAATAATTTTAGATTTTAAGAATTTTGGGGGAAATAATAATGATTTACTGATACAAGTCCTACTCATTAACCCATAGCTGTGGGTAGTAGCGGTAGATTCAAATCTTTTTCGAGGTTATTTGCATGTAAGTGACTATAACGAACCTGACTGGAATTGGAATTCATCTCTCTAATTTCCAATTCCAAGCTGTTATCCATGGCACCCCCACACATCCATGATTATAGGAACTGGTATTCCCAAGTGGTCACCCATATAGGTACTGATCAGGCTTAATGTTGCTTAACTTGTCAGTGGAATTAGTTTTCCTTTTTCATATTTCTATAAAGCACAAGTTAGCTCTAAATATGTCTGGTAGTCATTGCTGAGGAATGAGTGACTGTCTTCTTTTCTGTGCCAAGTCCTCTTACGATGTGGGAGATCATGGATCTCCACAGCTACCTGTCTTTTGTACAGTAGTTACTTGAAATCTCTGATTTCTTTCTCTCAGCATCCTTGCAGACCGTAGCAATACCAGGGCTGGAATAGTCTTGTACTATGGAGGTGCTACAGTATTGTAATGGACAATGTTGCTGTGGCTTACCAGTTTGTAGACTTTCAAAATAAATGAAGTCAACATTCTCAAAAGAAATCCACAATTATTTCTGTCTAATAGCCCCTTGAATAATTCAAAACATAACTGTTACCATAATACATAGGTTACACACAATACATCACTGAACTTTATATATGAATAGTTTGAGCAAAAACACAACACATATGGACTGATGATTAAATATATGCATGAAACAGACTGTTGCCATTGGGTATTGACTTCAATGTTCACTTTTATATTCAGTTATCCGGAAAGTTCTTGCCAATTATTAGGGGAAATTAAAACACAAAACACAATTATGCCATTAAATATTTATTCAGCTGGAATGTTTAAGTTGAAGGAAAAAATGACAAAAAGGTTGTTCAACAAAATGGTTCATGATCAATTTTGTTGAATAACATTTTCACCATTTTTCCTTCAACTTAAACATTCCATTTTCACAGAACTTTGGTGGTTTCTCAGCAAAGAATTTGTTAAAATGTTTTTTTTTTTATTATATCATCCAAAGAATTAAAAGTTACCATTAAGATTTTGCTGGCTCACCAAAGAAACATGAAGTCTGGAACTATTGAATGTTTAATTGGCAGAAGCTCATAAGATCCCTTTCCAATCCCACTAGATGCTCATCATAACATTCTTAGAATGAAGACCTGCTTTTGAGGCAACTAAAGATGGATCATTGCTTATCCCAGGAATTTTCTCACTGAACATTGTTGTAAACAATCTATTTCTCATCAGCTGTCACAATTTGCTTAAAAAAGGGTACATTTTCATTGCATTTATGCAGCAAATCACAGATGACATGTGATCCAAAAGATTCTTTTCACTCAGCTCATCCTTCTGTTAAGCATGGAGAGTAATTGTACATGCTTATTGCTCAAAGTAGAGTCCAATAGCATCATAGAAACATCAAAGAATTCCAGTAAGGTATCTTTAATCATTTCTAAGAAAAAAATGGTTCAAAGGTTAATCTAACAATTTTGCTGTTATACCTACCCAGTGTGTGTGTATATATATATATATATATATATATATATATATATATATCTTTATTTTATATATATATATATATATATATATCTTTGTTTTCTATATATATATATATATATCTTGTGTTTTTTTATATATATATATATATATATATATATCTTGTGTTTTCTCTATATATATATATATATATATATCTTGTTTTCTATATATATATATATATATATATATCTTGTGTTTTATATATATATATATATATATATATATATATATATA